TACAGCCCCGATTTGCAGACGCTGTGCACAGAGGTTCATGAGCAGAAGTCCCATTGTACCATGGCAGACCCGACAATGTTTGCACGAACACGCTTTGAAGCATTACGTTATGGACAACTTTTCACACATGGTTGGTGTACCCACACAGCCGGCTGTAGCTTTTCAACTCACAGCCCAACACACACCCAAAAAAACAGCCGAGAGAGCACAGACTTTACGCCTGAGAGGCGTGATTGCAGATGCCGCTGAGTTGGGTTCACCTCCCCTGCAGCGGCACTGCAGACCACACCCCGCCACACACATCAAACACGTAAAATAAATATTTGTGCACTTTTGCATTCACTTTTTGTTTTTTGTTATTTTACACAGTGTTCTGAATGATTAACAATGGTCTACAGCCAATCTTGTGTATTATTATACAAACTTTGGTTGTAAGATTCAGATAACTATTTAATAAAAGCTAAATATTTTATATGAGAGTAAGAAAGAAAAGTATATCTTTGTGCCCCCTTTCCCTGTTAATGCCCTACCTGGCCCCCTGGCAAAAGTTTTGCTAGATCTGCCCCTGCACAGTTACCAGCTGTCAGCTACACAAAAAAGGATATTGTGTTATTCGTCTCTCAGAAACAGTTCATAACTTCCCTTCATGTCACCTAAAAGGTAAACTTGTTTCTCCATCACCAGTTCAGCTCTGATGATTCAGTAAGGACATCTAAACATGCTGCTGTTGTTTAGCACGATAAACAAACAAGAGAGAAAAGCCGATCATTGATCAGTTTCATGATTGAAGTTTCAACAGGCGAGAGAATGACAGGGGAGGCTGTTATAAAGTTCAACATCAGTAACTTAGCGCACACAGCTGTATAGAAACCATTGACTGTAGAAAACATGGACGACGCGACCACGTCTCCTACCATTGTGCAAAAATGAAGCCAAAATATCCCGCTTGTGGAGGCTGCCATCTTGCAAATTTGGAGCCAGAGTCTGCGCAGTAGGTGGAGCGACTGTGTAACGCTCCCGCCCACACACCCGCTGGACGTGACCGCAAACACGCCCCCCTACACTTTTTACGTAGCCTGGCGGCTCGAGTTTTTTTGCTGGTTTACCGCGACTGACAACTCGTTTAATTAAGGTAAATACAACCATGTCACTGTTATAAAAAAAATACACACACCTTATTATCTTATAGTTCCAAAGTCATTCTGTTGTTAATTCGTTTGCTAGATTAGCCGCTAGCATACGCACTGTGTTGGAGGCTTGTTGCTAGCTATACTGCAGCCAGACACCAGGGGGTGATAGAGACATTTTGGCTTCATTTTTGGGGAGCTGTCGTCGTCCATATTTTCTACAGTCAATGATAGAAACTCCGTCGTGCTAGCTAGCACGCAGTATGAGTTATTGTAAGTGACTGAAAAAAGTCAGCACAACGAAAATAAACTACACCTGAACTCGGTTTATATCTGACCCAAATAGAGTGCAGTTCATAACTTCTTACCTGAAATTCAGTTCACCTCACGCTCCAACCGGCAGCCGCCTGCTTCTCCTGCCTTCGGTTTCCCTTATCCACGATTGAGCTCCGCGTTAGCCACCACCGGTCGATCGGCGGCCGCCTCCTATGTCTCTTTCCCCGCATGCCCTTTCTGTCATACACCGGTGGATAGCTGCCCTCTGTTGTAGCTCCGCGTTAGCCACCACCAAACAACTCAGTTATTTTTTCCACATCGACCAGCATCATTGGCCCATATAAACGAAAAATAAGTCCAACGAGACACAGACTCTTTGCGAGCGTTTGGGTGGTGAAACGAGTGTCAGCCGCCTCACTGTAAGCCAAGCCCGGGTGCTTTTTAGCGAAGAGCCGCTAGCCGCGCTAGCTAGCTAGCCGCGCTAGCAGCAACATCGTAAGACAACTGTTGCTAATATGGGATATCTTGATAAAATCATAGGCGTGCTATGATTTGTGGGATATGGAGTTTTCCACCAAGCACCTTGCGGTTACCGTAACTATTCAATGGTTCGCGCAACCCTAAAAATTCCAATGGTTCCTGAAAGCAGCGACGCTGTGCGCACCATTGATATTATCGTCATTACGGTAATCCAAATACGGGTAGACAGGCCGTACTGCTCCCCACATAGCAGTAGAGCAGGGGTGTCAAACTCAAATACACAGTGGGCCAAAATTCAAAACTGGAACAAAGTCACGGGCTGACATTAATATTTATTGGAAAAAAAAAAATTCCTCCAGATATAAGAATGAATCTTTTCTTATGGACTCAAACAAGTTTTGCTGAAAAACTGAATATGGAACAAGCAAAGCTTAATACTAAACGATATATATATTAGCTGTATAATACCAGTAGGCCAGCTCTAATAGTAATTTGGTATGGCTTCGTGGGCCAAATGTAATTAGGCTGCAGGCCAAATTTGGCCCGCGGGCCAGAGTTTGACACCTATGCACTAGAGAGAGCCAACACATCACAAATGAAGTTTGAAATCTGTTTCTATGGGGCCAAAAGTTGAATCTTTCTCATGGGCCTAGAAATGGGCCAAAATTTGCACTAAAATCTAAATATTTAAAAAACTATAAAAGTCATAAACACCAAAAGTCATAGCACACCATTCCAGATCTAGTCGCACGAAATGATATAACATATGTAAACTACGGGGTGACTTACGCTGCAAAATTTTAGGCGGAAAAAGGAAAATAATAATGATAATGATAATAATAACTAACAGATAACCTAACAGAGCCTCAACATGTTCTCACTGTAATTTCCCCTCATGAATGAATTTATGCTGCACTAATCTGAATGTTCGGAGGGAAATCAAACGCATTTTACTGGCAGTACTCAAGCTGACTTACCTTTGTTTAAATAACGACGTATTCACAACGTGGAGTCTAAAAATAGCCAAATCTTCGGATGTGCGCCTCCAGACATTTATATTGCGAAACAGGTTCGCTGTGTATGCGCTGACTCCACAGGTACGGAAATATATCAGGCTTCGGGGTTTCTGCTCCACTGCCGTTTTTTTCATACGGGTCCACATTTCCAATGCACGCTATTTTTTGCAGGTACCGTCTCTTCGCATCCGACACAATCTGAGTCATTAACGTTCTTTTTGTTTTGAGCTGCTTTTAAGTACGGTTTGTATCTTCCTTCCAAACGAGTGTGTTTGTTTTGATTCATGGCCTGATAAAATGGTGGCATGCTCCCACAATGCATTGCGGCGTGACGTCAACTCCAAAGCCCTATAACTGATTTTATAAATCTCAAATTTTACGTTTGAGACTTATAAAATAGTAATGATAATTCCATGATTAAAATTAGACGAGTTAAACAATAACAAACAAAAAAAAACAAAACAGTGATAACATAAAATCAACACAAGGCAGTCCAATCACGAAACACAATCGTAGTTAGCCAATCAGGGCGGGGGACAACAGATTACATCACAAGTTGTAACTTAAAGACCGGCGGGAACCTTATAAGATAAGCTTTATTAGTCCCACACGTGGGAAATTTGTTTTGTCACAGCAGGAAGTGGACAGTGCAAAAGTTATGAAGCAAAAATTAGAATACAATAAGAATAAATACAGTACACAACAGTACAGAATAGAATAAAATAAAATACTATATACAGTAGAATAAAATATAATAAAATATACAATAAGAAAAAAATAGAATAGAAAAGCTATATACAACTGAGTAAAAATACAACGATGCCAGAAAAGATTATTGCACATTAGTGTTATTGCACATTTGTGGATGTGTGTGTTTAGTCAGTTAAAGTCTTTATTTTGGAGTCTGACAGCAGTGGGGAGGAAAGACCTGCGAAATCTCTCCGTCCCACACCGTACTCCACTCCAACGCTCCCTTGCCTGCTCCTCTGACTCACTTCTGGGATCTCTCGGATCGGATCATTCTCCACACTCACTCGGACTCCTGAAACCCTGCCTCCCCCTCTCACACACAAATCAGTTACCTTCAGTTCCCTTGGCTCCGCTCTGATTGTCCTCTCCCTGTGTTACAGTGCCTCTGACCTTCAGCTCACTCATCCACGTGCCCCACTCTAGCTCTGGACCTCCCTTGTCATGCTTCCGTCCCTGTCCATGTAACTCATGCAGCTTTAAGCTGTGTCCAAATTCCTTGGACACATCCTTCGGAGGCCGCATTTGAAGGCCGATTACATCACAGCCAGGCGACGAAGGCAGTCCCAATAAGAAGCCTGCTTCATGACCAATGCGTCCTTCATTTGAAGGATCGGTCGGGTGTATCCTTCGTGGCCCAACCTATCCCAGAATTCATAGCTTGGCTCAGCCAATTCCCGTTTCCAGCAATGGCGGCAGCTACTTAGATTTAATATTACTCTTTCTAGGTCACAAAATAAACTTTTAAGATATTTTCAGGCGAGAATGTATCTGTGTAAATTTCAAATTGATAGCAGACGGCTG